TATTTTGATACCAAATTTTGGATGTTCAATCCTCTATTAAACTCGCACTAACAAAAAATATTTTCAATAAAATAAAATGACCAAAATACCCTTGAAATTTTCAAGGGGTATTTTGGTCATTATATTTTATCAAAAAAATATTTTAATATTTTTTATAGGTGTGCCCCATGAGAAAATGGCACGTACCAAATTTCATATTCATACAATTTGTATAAAAAAACTAAAAACAAAATACTTTGAGACGTCGGATCTAAGATCAAATGGTGAGCGGCTCTCTTGATCAAAATTTGATGGCTGGATGGTAGAGGGAGCATAAATCTTCTATGTTGTAGGGGAAGTATAGAAACCTTTCCTTAAATTAAAAGGTCCAAAACTATTATACATTTCCTCTCTTTTTCACTATGCATTTGAGTTAGAGAGATCCATTCTTTTACGGTGATTTGCATTTAAAATTTCATTTAACTATGAATTAAATATCTATATCTATACTACATTATTAAGCCAGAATTAAGGGGTTTGCTAAAAAAAATGTAGAAATGGGTGACATTGAAATAGGGGTATAGAGAGAATTTATAGTATTGAGGATAAGTCTATGTAGATATATTTCTATTTTATGTATCTATGTGAGCTCCTATTTAACCTAAAAGATATGGTCAGATGGTCTATGTTACAGATCCTCAATTATCTCCACCTAATCTTCTCAAACAGTTTCCTAAAATTTCTCTTACCCTAAATTTGGAAAAATAGACATGTCCCCCATTAATTTTCATCAATTATCACCACATAACTCTCTTGATATTTGATGCCGACCCCATTTTTGGGATAGATGATCCGGGTCACCTGTCCAGTTTTTCAAACTTTGTTTGGGAGGAAAAGTGTTTTGCATGAGGGGATGCAGGTCCACATATGTGTCCTTGCTGCATCAAACATCTATCCCACAAATGGATGAGGAAAAAGGTGGTACCAACTTAAAATGAATGCTGTACAAAATAGGTGAAAAATATATATTAATTTTTAGATTTAAAAATTATTATCTCTCCTTATATTCATGCTCACCATGGTGGAGATTCAACCTCTAAATGTTTTTAATCCAAAATCCATCTCTATCAGCAGTTTTGAATAAATCATATAGATAGATGAATTGAGAATCACGAAAACCTCATCCCATTTTTGAAAGAAGAAAGCTTATATAGAACTGAGGCTATAAACAATCAAATTAGAACCTACCTTAAAAATTGACTAGAAGAGGTTGTTTTGATGCCGAAATATCCTCAAATTGATCATTTCGACATTAAGATGCATGGACATGAGAAAATATGGATTTCAAGTTTTAGAAATAATACATCTTATAACGTATTTTTGTACCGTCAGTTTTTAAGATTTTCAATTTTTTATAGATCTGCTTGATCTATTCTATTATTTAAGCTTTAAATTTTACAATTTAAAAAAAATATTTTAAGGCTATTGCAAAGATTTTCGGTATTGAAACAACACTACTCAACACTTGAAAGAGCGCTTTACTTTGATTGTTTAGAGCCTTGGCTCTACGCAAACCACACCCTTTCTCAAAACCCATGGCAATGTCAGTCCATATATTACCCCATTAACTACTAGAATTCCATTTCATTAACTCAGAACCAACAAAATTTAAAAAAATGTACTTTTTATGTGATTAAAAAGGCAACATTTCAATATTTAACAGAGACTTTGGAGGATATAAGAGTTGAAGAACTTAAAGTCCTTTTTTTTTAATTGCTAAAATAGTCATCTTCTAATTATATGGTGGATCCTAAAATTTCACATAAAAAAGTCATTCCAAGTAGCTCTTTCACCTGAGGGACTAAGTGTATAATATGCTCTACAGGAGTGTGGTTACTTTCTGCAATTTTGGTTGAGTAACCATCTTTGTTACCGCTGATTGAGATGGGCAGCTGTTCTTGCTTCAATGTTGTCGGTTTCCACTGTTATCATTTATTTCCTTCTGCTTAATTTGGCCAAATATCCTTCTCCATATTTCATCTATTTCTCCTTTCCTCCTTGTTGCTTTTCTCTTTCCAAAAGGTTTTATCTTTTGACCAATGCAACAAGTACGTTGAGAGGCTTATCTTGGGTTTTTTTTTTTTTTAATTAAAAATAAGAAAATAAAAAAGGGCTCAGTCCTTTCAATTTGTCTTGATGATTATTTCTTATGGTTAAATTACTTATGAAATAAAAATGTGGACAACCCAAGTTTCATTTCACTAGAGAAGAAAAGGAATATGTTTACATCCATTGAAAAAAATGAATTTTTTTTCCCCTTCAATATGGAATGTTTAGATGTCTACAAAGAGCATTTATATATGAATGGGAATTAATCTACGATGAAAAAGAGCCTGTTGTCAATTCAAAGTGTATACTAGTTGTTCCAATGACCAAAATACTCTTGAACCTTGCCCGAGGCGAGTAACTCGACACATAAGTTCCAACTTTCAAAGTAATTTATCTGAGGGTATATCGGTCTTAAGGGTGGTGGCCTCTTAAGGGTTTAATCTTCTTCAAAGCCAACTAACACCATTTTTTAAAGTCAAGAGAGAGACCAAATACAAATCCTCCACGGCTGCGAAAGAGTCTAAAAAGTAATGGTTTGAGCAAAAGTTGACAAAAGTGGGCCTCTTAATTATATTTTAAAGAACAATGGTTTCATGCAACAGTTATATAGCAACATGATGCAATAATCTTAAAAAACCATTTTATGGCCATTAGTTTGATCCAAATTTTGACATATATATTCGTTTCATTCTAATGAACAATTGAAAAAAAAAAAAAATTGAAAACAAAACCTAGAAAGTATTTTTTTAGACTAATTAATATAGATCATTCATTTTGGTGAGATACTTAGATCTAAGCTTTAGAAGGATTTTTTTCATCTTCAAATTTTTTATATGGTTTTATTATTATTGAACAATGTTAAAAAAGAAAAAAAAAATGATTTTGACTTTATAAAGGTTGAGATCTTGAAATTCACAAAATGAATGGTTTAGATTCGTTGTTGGAGGAGACTCATTTTGACCATATCTAGGGTTCAAATTGAACTCTTTTTTTTTTTGTAGATTGATTGTTAAGATGAAAAGAGTGTGTGTGTAAATTTTAAAATCATACAAATATCACAAACAAAATTTTCTAAAAATGCAGGATACAACCGTTGCATTAGATCATTGCTATATTTTAAATGACATGATATTGTCATCATTTCGTCTTAATTACATTTTAAATGACAAGACATTGTTATCATACCGTCTTAATTATATTTCAAATGACAATATATAGCTATCATGTCGTATATAGCAATTCCAACTCACCAGCCTTTGACCTGTACTTTTCTACATAACATTTTAAACGATTCTTGAACTTTGCTTTCTTCATCATACATTTGAACTTTTGTTTGCCCTTCTATGACCTTCACGGTGAAAATATGTTAGGAAACGGTAAAGAAAATAAAATAAAATAATTAACAAATTATAGTTATTTCTAGGCACAATTATCAAGACCGGAACGAACCAATAGTATGGCAGTTCGATCGGTCAACGGTTTGGTCCAAAGTAATCGGGTTTGGTTGAAAATCAATAAAAAATCTATATTTGACTGGTTGGACTAGACAATTCGAATTGTTCGACCAATTAAATGATGTTGGGTAGATTTTTAATTTCATTTTATATTTTTAAACTACTAGTTCTATTTTTTTTTCCCTTATTTCTAAGATCTGGTTTAACTGATTTGATCAATTACTAAACCAATTTTAATCGGACCAAATCCTTCACTTGTTTGGTGATGGGCCAATCTCAATAGTTGTGTTTCTAAATCCTAATTTGGTCAGCTTAACTAAAAACCCATCCCCAACGTGCTTTATTTTGAACATGTTGATATTGAGACCATATGGTGTCAATCAAATGAATAAACATGTTGCTCACAGTGTTGCCTTCTGTTTGTGTGCTCCAAATATTTTTTGAACCTGGTATGAGACTTAATGTTACATCATTTAAAACTAAAAAATTGGTTAATTATCAATACAAAACATAAAAATTTAATAGCATTTTTTTATTTTTGAAGAATTTTTAAAGATATGATAAGCTAATCAAGCCGTGGAGCTGAGGTTTTATGAAAATAAAGTCAAACCTCACCTTGAATCCTTGTTTAGAAAGCATTTTTGGCATCTGGAATCAGATGGCTCTAAAATCAATTTTTAATCCCTACTACTAAAGTTGAAGTTCAAAAAATGGTATAAATCTTACATGAGTTTGTGAGCACTTATTTTTAAGATGAAATAAAAATTCTAGATAATGTATTACAATAAAAACTATTTTAACTTTTGAAATAATTTTTTTTTATAATCCTAGTTGTCAAGACCAAGATGATCAATTTGAAGATTTTCCGACGCCAAAATTATAGTGTTTTGAGGTGAGGCTTTATTTATTTTGATGGACCCTAGCGAAGCCAAAAATTATATTAGCCAAAAAAAAAAAAAGAAATTTTAAAACCCAACTGAAGGGTTTTTTCGCTAATTTAGAAACCCTTACTGAAGGGTGCATTTTGAAACCCTAACTGAAGGGTTTTTTCCGCCAATTTTCTCCCTCAAAAAATCAACCCATTTCTCCGCTCACTATAAATAGCACTTACATTTTCCTTATATCGTTGATCGTTCTTTGCCTATTGTGGAGGCTTCATGACCAGGCTTTTTTCCTACTAAGCTTACCAAATTTCAACACGATTCTGTTTCTGATTCATATAAGGTTTGTGAGTTCAATCTACTAGAATGCTTTTTATCTGCTTCTGATTCATATAAGGTTTGTGAGTTCAATCTACTAGAATGCTTTTTATCTGCTTCTGATTCATATAAGGTTTGTGAGTTCAATCTACCTGCTGCTTCTGATCCGTCAAGGAACTTAGTCGCTGTTGTCTTTGTGTATTGCAAATTTTTCTCCTGTTTTTGGTTGTTCTATTGCACTTAATGATTTTTTTTGGAAGATTTTTTGTATGATCATCGTTAAGTTATTTTGACGGTGGAAATTCAAGCGGGCGAATTTCTGTTCATCTTCAAATATTGTGTTTTTCTCTGTTTACAGATGTCTATTCGATGTTGATTTAAATGGATAAAAGAATATGAGAGGAAGATTTTTGATTCTGATAAGTGGATTCAGTGTTGCTTTTCTTCGCATTTTGAGATTCTCTGTGAAATTTTGATTTTTGCATTCGGAGAATAATGATTTTCTGCAAGGGGAAACCGTTGTGTAGGAATGGAATTGCTCGTTATTTTAGTGAATTTGTTTGTATTTTTCTGCTATAATTAATTATTTTAGTGATTTTCTCAAAATTACAGAACTTGTATAATTAATTTTTCTGCTAATTTATTTTGACTTATTTCAGTAAATCTGAATCTTTGTTCTTGAAGATCTTAAATGTACCATTCAAGTTCCTTAGTCAATTTTTCCTTTTAAGACTTCATATTTTCCCTTTTTTTTGGCATTTTTATATAGTTGGAAGCTCTAGAACTTTTGATGATGTTCATGCATCTCTCTATTAGATCTTTCCTCATGCATTTTTTTCTCCTATAGAGTCCATCTTTCTTGAATTTTTGTTCAATTTCCCATCTTGTAGTTGAGTCTTTAAATATTTGATGTGTATTTGCTGAAGGTATCTTGGTTTGTTTTGTCAAACTGCTGAAATAAGTGTTTGTTTAGTAGAAGAAAGGTGAAGTTGGCAATGACTAGAGTAATTACTGTTACAATTGCAACAGCAATAAAATGACAATGGAACCTTAAATGTCAAACCTTTTTTTTTTTTGGTGGGGGGGTGGGGTTGTGTGGGCGGGAATCCTTACTTATGGATGTGATGATATTTCAAATTCTATTATTGTATGTATAGTGGTTACTACTTGATATCAATTCAAGGGGAATGGCATTTCCTGAATATTTTGTATTGTAATTGATACCTATTTTTTGTATAATCAGATCAGTTATCTAGATAATAGTCGCATATTCAACTTTTTTTGTGGGAATTCAAAAGTTAATTTGAGCATGGCATGCGATCCGTTATGCAAAAGTTTACGTATTCCCATTAAAATGATTACATGGTTTTGATAAGAACTAGTCGGATTATATCGATCCCTTCTCTTATAAAAATGAAAAGGGAGAATATCAGTGTTGGAATTCTATTGTGTATCACTTAATGACTTTATTCTCGACTTCTCTTTCTTAATTTTGTTTTCCATTGGTTCAGCCGTCAAGATGTCAAGAAAGATGTTGCGTGATGGTGATGTGGATGATTCTATGATAAAAGGCGAGTATGATTATGATTTATTTGTTATTGGAGCTGGTAGTGGAGGTGTTCGAGCTGCTAGGTTCGCAGCTGGTTTTGGAGCTAAGGTAAGCAGAGCATTGTTCTCATGCAGTGTTAAGAAAACCAATGACTCGGGCATGGGCTCACCCAAGTCACTCGAACCTGGCAGGGTAACAGGTGCAGATGCAAAAGACCAAAACTTGGGTGAGTCTCAATGAGTTCTGGTCCCCTTTGTATCTTATCCTGAGACTTGTCAGAGTTGGACCTCTGAGTCGGCTGAATCAGTGGACGATTGGAACTTGGGACCCTGTGGGGTCTGAGCCCATGTCCTTGTTTTAAAGCACTGAAGTCACTATTGTATGTTTCGAGTTTTGCATTTATATATCCTAACTGTTCCTTTTATTTGAACTTCCAAAATGGTTTTTAACTGATATTGATCCATTTGGATTTCTTTGCTCTTTTGAGTTGGTATCTCAATGAATGAGGAAAATGTATGTGCACCTATGGAGTTTGAAAACTTGAACTCTGAGAGTCTGAGTCTCTATTTGAGACATAACTGTGCCGATTCACTGGTCAATGAGTTTTTTCTTTACTCTAAATCTCCAAGCAAGGCTGCATATCATGCTCTAAAATCCTATTAAGGATTTCTTTTATGTATATTTCCGTTGCATTTAAAAATTATTAGATTATTGTTTCTGTGTTGTTATTGTGCTAAGTTGTTTGAGAACTATGCTACAAGGTTGCAATATGTGAACTTCCATTTGATCCTATCAGCTCGGAGGTGATTGGAGGAGTAGGTGGAACGTAAGTGTGTGAACTTGAGAACTTGTCATTGTATGCATCCTATGCCATGCTCTTTCTATGTAGTTGTGGGCATGTCTAAGTTTTATTGCTTTTTTTAATACTATTGGTTGGGACTGTACTTCTTTGGATGAATAAAAAGGTTTAGACTCTAGTTTGACAAAAATTGTTGAACTGCAAAACTTACTCTTCTATGTTTTTCATATTCATGCCATCTGAACCTTGTAGGTGTGTTATTCGTGGTTGTGTACCAAAGAAAATTCTAGTGTATGCGGCATCATTTGGAGGAGAATTTGAGGTGATTTCTCTCTTTAACTTTGAACATGTTCGAATGTCCCTGCTTTAGGAATCCTTTAATTGCATATTACTCAATTTTTTTTATTATGACAAATAAGTTTATTTTATATTATATGCGGAGGTACCAGATATATATTTCTATGATTGTTTTAATGAGAATTTGGATAATTCTCAGCCGCACTGCGGACCATATGCAGTCCTCATTCTGTGCTTTCTGCATCATAAGTTAGAGTCGGCATAATAACTAGATGCTAGTTCATGATATACTGGTACCACTTGGTTTCATCCATCGAGTTGTGCTTCTTGAAGTTTCAAATTCTACTTGCATATTGAGTTAATTCCTTTTTTGGTAAATAATACTACATTGATGTTGTTATAGATTCTTTAGGATTTCACTTTTAGATGCCATGAGGGTCCTCTTCTAGTCTGGAATTCATTGAATGAGTTCACATAATTGAAGTGATGGTATGCTTCTCGAAGCCTCATTACCTTGTCTCTGTTGGACCTTAATTGTCAACTAACTAACAAAGCAAAGATGGGATTGTATGAGTGAACCAACTAACACATTGTCCATGTTTTAGATATATGAGTGAACTAGGAACCACCAAAGAGACTCACTTAACATTCTAGACAGCATCTGCTATTCTCCATCTTCCAATTTATTGGGAATGTTGAGTAGTTAATATTTGCAGCCAAATGGGTCCTTAGTTTTGGAAGTAATCACAGGGCATAAGGATAATCAACTTCTAAGATCATTGGAAAACAAAAATGAACACAGGTTTTGGATTGCCATCTGAATCACAGGACCATGGACTGACTCGGACAAATCAATCGAAAAAATCTTTGAAGTTTGTCATATCCCAGATATGGATTTTTTTTTTTAATTTTAATTACTTAAGTTGGTTTGGGGCTCCCAACTGAATTTTCCGAGTAAATGGACATGCACTAGATCTATGTAGAGAACTGCCAAATTTAATCGATTTTTTCTATGTAGGGAAGGGCCAAATTTAATTAATTCTTTCTATGTAGAGAAGTGCCAAATTTAATCAATTCTTTCTTTTCTATTTTTGGTAGTGCTGCATACTTCCTCAACCAGTAAAATTTGAAATCTAAAACATGGAGAATGTGTTGAAGGTTCCTTAGTTCACTCATATATCTATATATGTAATCGATCTGGATGCCAGTTTATATTTAATCAAGCACATGAAGCTTCTGCTCTTTTTACTGATTACAACTATTATTTGTTAGAGACAGCCTAGACAATTGTATTTGGCCTTACCTTTAACACTACATTATGCATTCTTTTTCTTCTTCTGTTTACCTTGATGGTGTGTATGTCAATTCCTTCTCTCTCTCTCTCTCTCTCTTCCTTGTGGATCTAGAATGTCCAGGTGACTGAAAAGGTGGAATGAGATTTTTTTAAACCTATATTTATGACTGTAATAGTCTTGATAATTTTTTAAGAGATATAACTTTTTTGACTTGATATCTTGCAACTGTCAATCAAGAAGGTGTATGGAAATTGTGGGCATTTCAAACCATTCAATCAGTTAATATTATTTGTTTCATATGAAATGTCATCTGTTGTGTTGTTTCTAAGTTGAAACAGCTTTGTTGGACATGAATTTATTGACTTGATACACCACATCTTTCTCAGGATGCAAAACATTTTGGATGGGAAATTAATGAGCCAGTTGAATTTAACTGGAACAAGCTTTTGCATAACAAGGTAATGCAACACGTGTATCTTCAATAATAAGTTGTTGCTTTTGGTTTCTTATTGTACCACTCCATTTGAGTTGTTTATTCTCCCAGAAGTGATCTTTTTTGCCATAAAAAAAAAGTACCATTCTGCTCGAGTTGCCATAATAAAAAGTACCATAAAAAAAGGTGATTCTCTTGTCATCTTGAGCTTTGATCATGCTATGTCTGGGCATGGCATATTATTTGTAAGAAGTTGGTTCCTGGAAACAAAATCATAATTGAGATTTAGTACGTCCTCCTGAGGACAATAATCTGATTGGATATCTTCTTCCTTTTTGTGTGGTTGGGGTTAGGGAGGGAGAAGATGGTTATTATGGTTTTTTTGTCTTTGTATTATTTGAGTGAAAGTTCTCAAGTTTGAAGTATCACTATGCTTATCGAGTTTATATGTAGATATAAATGTTTACCTTGCTAACGTTCTTCTTTTCAAGGTATACCTGAATGCTTATTGTTGATATTTCAGACAAAGGAAATAAACAGGTTAAATGGAATTTACAAAAGATTATTGTCCAATTCTGGTGTGACATTGTTAGAGGGTGAGGCGAAGTTGGTGAATTCTCATACGGTTGAGGTTACACAAACTGATGGTACAAAAAAACAGTATTCAGCTAAGCATATATTGATTGCAACTGGTAGCAGGGCTACACGTCCACCTATTCCTGGCCAGGTATGCTGGTTCGGTGCGTCTTCTTTTTTCTTTACTGTCATTGGTCTTTAGAAAATAATTACTTCATTACTATGTACTTCCTTTTTTAGTTTAGAACATGTGCATCATCTAATAAGCCTCATGTCTCACTCGCCACAATTCCAATTAACATGGAAATTTGTGAAAATATTGAACATAACAATACACTTTAGAACAATAATGGCTTTCTCCTAAGAGATAAAAAACAAAACAAATTGTTGTCAGACTTGCAAGCAACACAACACCTGGAATCATCCAAATCTCACCCAGCTCAATTCAGATTACTGCTAAAGTTCTCCTGGGACTGTGCATGTCTGAGTGAACCTTCTCCAATTATGGACAGTTGCATCTGAAAATAATGAGACAATAAGTAGTCCTTGTACCCCATGTGAAGTAAAATCATCGAATAGTCTCAAAATATTCAGACCAAAATACAGTCCAGTTCCATGCATGGGCTTCTTATTTCTATGAAAAGCCAAGGCAATTGTCTTATTATGCTCGTGAGGGGAAATGCTCCCCTCTTGCAGACTTTGCATGTGGAATCTCAATGGCACTTAATTTTATTTTTAGTGCTCTTTCTGATGACCAATGGAACGGTTCTTATTGGCATGCTTAGTTTTCTAAAATGAGAAAACAATATAAGTTCCATGTGAGAATTCAGAAAACGATATAAGTTCCATTTCGTTGGTTCTTATCTCTCTCTTCATACAAGAGGCAAGAATGCAAAAATTTTGGTTGTCATTATATTACCCAAAAAAAAAAAGAAGTTTGCACCTCATTAAGACAATCACATGTCAAGAAAATTGATGTTAGCTAATATTCTCACAGTAGCTTTTCTTAAAGATGAATAAACCTCTTTTGTGGGCATATTGAACCCTTGGCCTTCTCCAGCTTGAGGGCTTTTGTGACAGTCTCAAGTGTATGCATTAAAAATCTTTATAATTTCTCTCTCTCATGAATAACATGTATGTAAATCAGCTTAAATTCATCCATTCTACTCTTACCTTATTTTTATATAATCCATATAGGTCAAAATGAAGTATTCTTTTTGTTTAATGTTCTGTTTGTACTAATAACCTCGTCAAATTCCTCAAAGCCTGCAATTTAGACTTTTTTATCAGAAGGTACTTGATTTCCTCAAGTGGATGAATCAGCTTTCCACGCCTAGTCATGTTGAAATGGAGAAACTGCTTGCAACAGAAAATCTCTAGTACATGGTCTAAGAACAAGGTCAACCTTATTGCCATTCCCATGACTGGTTGATAATCTTGCGAGCTCCTGTGGACCTGTGGTCTAAGTTGTTGGTTTCTTTTTCAGTCTACGCATGAAGAAATTTTATCCTTGGAAACTTCGTTATTATTGGGTTTTTTGTGCTTCTTTTATTCTTTCAGATGAGAACTTTCATTGAGACTCTTTCCCTCTTGGTTGAAGTGTGTCCCTATCTCCTTCCTTTTCTGGTGATTACTTGTTACTTGTGAGCAATTTGACTTTAGAAGTGGCCTAGAAACCTTCCAAGAGCAACAGCCTTTGAAGACACCACCTTATGTAGAAAATGATCCACATCTCGATACATCGAAAAACTGAAGTACTGAGTGCAATTTGTCCAAATCTTTCACCTGCATATGACACCTGCCCTAGGTCTTTGGAGCTTTAGATAAGAATACAGAAAACCCTTGTGCCCTTCTACTTTCATTCATTAACGTACCTTGTTTTTACCTCCCCCCTTTCCACATGATCTTGTGCTGAAGTGGGACTTTGCAATCCTTCACATGATTTTCTATGTCATTCATTTTTTGTTTCTTTAGTTTGTACTGTGGTGTCGTATGTGTGTGCTAGGTTAGATACAACCTAGTGTGGCATAGAAATCTGTGTCATGATTTGTTCTGTTCGTATATTTTGTTCATGGTAGTTTATACTCGTTTGGGTTCATTATTTAACTCCATTGTAATTTGTAGGAGCTGTCTATTACCTCTGATGAGGCATTGAGCTTGGATGAATTACCGAAGCATGCAGTAATACTTGGTGGTGGGTATGTGTTTTTCTTTTATTTGCTCTTCAACCCTTCTTGTGATCTTGTATCCTGAGGTGATCATAAAATTCTATCAATGATGTAATTTCGTATGTTTCAGGTACATTGCTGTAGAATTTGCTTCGATTTGGAAAGGGATGGGTGTAACTGTCGATCTATTCTACAGGAAAGAGCTTCCTTTGAGGTTTGGAATCATACTTTGATAAGTTTATTTCTCTTTACATGCATCTTGGATGGTGTGGATTCTTAGATTTCTCAAATAGTTCATCCCAGGGAGTGGAAAGTGGATTTACAATTTATATATGGTATAATTTGATATGCCTCGGTACTCTTGTATGCATGCAATGTGTAAGTGTTGTGACTGTTGTTTTGTTTTTTTTTTTTCCGGGGTGGGGGAGGGGTTGGTGGTTCCCTTTTAATTACTCATGGAAATTGGAAAAAAATATCCTATTGTTCAATGAAACGTTACTAAATGGAGGTAGACTTAGTTTAGTTGTCCCTTTCATATGCGATAAAAAGATTGGGGGAGGGGCTTTCCACTTTGCCTCCTTCCTCTCTCTGATCTGGCATCTGTCTTTATATACCGGAAAGCTAAAAAGGACAAAGGGGTGCTCTGCTGCTCTCTACTTTTATAAGAAGGGCAGAGTTTTTCGATGTTGTTGTCGAGATTGGCCTCCCTTTGTATGGAAGAGAAAGGAATTGAGGAATGTTGAATTATCCTCCATACCTCTCCCTCTGGAAAAAACAGGAAAGTTGTATTCAGAGTAGTTTGCTTATTCAGAGCATAGTTAGCAAGTTGGGGAATAATGATATACAGTGAACCAAAGTACTGGTAATAAATCAGTTTTGGTCAAAAAAGTCGGAGTTACAAAATAGGGAAAAATATGGATTGCCAAAAATTATGAAAGTTAAATAATTGTGAATACTTCGGAGTTGGCTCAAAAAATGGGTTGAAAAAATCGGATATGCAAAGATGGTATGTGATAGAATTATGATTTACAGTTATTGTAAAGATACATAAAGTCATTGAACAATAATTACTTGCCCTTACTTGATATCATTCAGGGTCCTACTTGGCAAATGTTTGTCTAAATTGTTTTAATACAACAACAGTGCTTTCTCCACGGCTATGACACAAAACATACAATGATTTTATTGGGAGTGTCTATAGAAATAATAACAACAATACTAAGCACAACAATTACATCAACAAATAAAAAAAATGTAACCCAAGGTGTAGGATGATTGTTAGATAAAAAGACCCTTAGTATAGGATTACGACTAACAAAAACATGAAACTCATTAAATGTGAAGCAGTGGTCAATCTAAATCATTTTGTGTTACAAATCAATAAAATAGCAAAACAATTAAAAAATGGTGAAATAAGTGTTTTAAAAAGCGCTAGGTGGGTCCTAGGCGGATTGGGGGGTCCAGGCCGCCTAGTGCCCAGGCGGGCGCCCAAAACCTGGGCGGCCCAGTTGAATCCAAATAAGGATTCTGCAGTCCAGTTGAATCCAAATAAGGATTGTATAGTTATTGGAGTATCAGACTATCTGTTATATTCAAATTATACTACATATTAGCATTTAGCACACATTCCATAAGCATAACCATAATCCATAAATCGGTTCATACTCCATAATCCATATCCAATTAAAACTTAAAATATACCAACCAACCACATTATAAAACTATGAAAGCAATACTTGAAGACTCAAAAGAATCTTCAATAGTTCAAATGTTCAATACACAATACTTCAATCAAAGTTCAAACTTCAAAGTAACAAAGTTTAATAATTATTCAACAATCAACATTCATTCATCATCAGAAAATCTTGGGTCAGCTGCATTGGCATCATATTCATCAGAGTCGATGGAGTTGTCACCCTCCTCGACATATTGCGACTCGTCTTTCTCTGTCTCTTGTGAATTTGCCTCTTCTTCCTTCACCCTTGTTCTCTGTGCAGAAGCTCTAGTGCCCCTAGGAGGGTCAGCTGATGTCCTTAAAGCATCCATGACCATATCCCATGTCAATCTTTTATGCCTCGACCTCATCATCATCAACTAACCACCCCATAGGATTGTCCATATTTTTTGATCTGATGGGGTCTCTATTATCTCTCTTAACAAATCTGTCCTTCAAGAATCGATTATACTTGATATAGACAACTTGTATGCTCTCCACTCGTCCGAGGTAAACATTTGCCTTAACTGCACTATCCTCGAATGTATGCTATCTAGGCATAAGTACCAGGTCGCAAATCTCATGACCCCAGGCCTCACAATCTCTTTCTTCTTTGTAAAGGTACGCATCATGCTGAGGGTGATATGGTGGTTATAAATGAAATTCGTAACATACTTGGCCTTCTTCACTGCACCTGATATCTCGGTTAAACCGCCAAGAGCCTCAAGCATGAGATCTATACAATGTGTTGTACATGGTGCCCAAAAGATTCTAGGATAAGTTATGCGCAACAAATTAGATGCAACAACATTAGGTGCAGCATTCTCTGTGACAACCTGTTCAACAAGATGCTCCCCAATCTCCTTGATTCCCTTCTCTATCACTTGAAATATGTAATGGGCATCATGGATATGATCAGAGGCATCAATAGACCTCAAAAAAACAATCCCTATTGGACAATTCACAAGCAAATCATTTAACTTCTTCTCTTCTTATCACTCCAAGCATCAGTCATAAGACAAACCCCATATTGAGCCCATGCATCTTTCTGAAGTTCTACAACTTTCTTCGTGGCATTCACTGCCTTTTTAAAAAAAGGCTCTGAAAGCTCATATGGGTTTGGGGGTTTCATCCTAGGGCCAAATTGGCCAATTGCTTCTACTGCAGCATAAAAGCTGTTCAAGCGAGTGGTATTGAAAGGAATGCTCACCTCATAAAACCATGTAGCCAAATAATACGCAACTCTATCTCTCTCTCTTCCTTCTTGATTCTATTTTTCAATGGTGGTTTGCTTTTTTGTTTTTTCTCATGCAATCTCAGGGTCAGGCTGATGTAAGAAACTATCCATAGGGCTTCTAACCCGAGGCTTCTTAGTCCCAGAACCAGAAGCAATTACAACTCCCTTCCCCTTTCCCCTAATAATGGATTGGTCAACCTCTTGACATCCTTCCCCAATCCTTTCCTCATCACTATCATCATCATCAAAATTGACTCGAACCCCAGACCTAATATCTGCTTTAGAGGCAATTCTCTCATCTTTTTTCATTTTTACCGAGTTCATAAAATTCTTTATTTGCTCTTTAATAGCATCAGGAATCCTTTTACATGGGGCAACATCCCTCTAATATCGGCAAGATGCTTCTTGAATCGGTTTATGCCCCCATTTCTATCCTTTTCACGAAAATTACATCTTATGCAATTTTTATCATTGGGATCTGGGTTATAGCCATATTTTTAATCGGGATCACCACTCCTCTTAGATCCCGAAGAAGACATCTAAAAAATAATGCATATTACTAAAGCAAGAAAAAAAATCACTTACTTTGAGTTTGATTGCGCAATCTTCAAACTTCCACCTCAAAGATGCTTTTAAATACTCAAAATCTTCTAAAACACCTCCAAATAACTTTGCAGAACATCAAAAAGTAAATATAATACCATGGGTGATGTTTTGATCAATTTTGGTTAACTTTGAGTAACCCTTCGATCTTAAAAAATTCACCACAATCTAGTTTTTTTGTGGTTTTCTCTCTCTCAATTTGGCTCAAACAAGGTTTAGGTTTCAAATGAACCTAAAACCCTAATTTTTGGGCCTTAAAAACAAAAACAAATGATGTAAAATGCCCTCACAATTTTTTTTTCCCTCCCTGGGCGGCCGCCCAGGGCTGGGCGCTGGGCAGCGCCTAGGTGGGTTCCGTGCTGCCTAGGCGGTTGCCCAGGGACAGACCGCCCAATTTGGCCGCCTAGGCATGGGTGATGCGCCCAGGCCTTTCGGACCGGCTAGGCGTCGCGCGGTCCGCTTTTTGAATCACTGGTTTGAAATTAATCAAACTTCTCTATATAGAGAGCAAGTAACAAATAGCTTACTTGTACTGAACAATATACGTATGCAAACTCAAACCCAAATCTTAGAACATCAACACTCATTCCTAGTGACTAAATCTTTAGTTTAAATTAAACAACACTGTCTCCTCTTTGTAATAGTACTCTTAGTTTAGAAATAAAGAATATTTTTCATTGAGCTATTCTTTCTCTAAGTTTACCTATTATTTTGATATATAGAGTTGTCTTGGGAGAACATATTTTTCTAGGAATGCATTGGCAGTGTGTTTTTTTTTTTTTTAAATACAATCTTTAAAAAGAATATATTGTGAAATTTTTTATGGAATTTTTTATTATATCAATATTCTTAATTTAATCCCAATTTTAATGTACGGATCTCAAAAACAATTTTATAAAGATATCAAATCAATGAATAAGAAGAGTAAACTTATATGGAAGAAGTTTTTTTGGAAATTTTTTTGAAAAAAAGATTAAATAAGCCTGTATATCGGCTCAATAATAAAAAATGTGATTTTTTGAAGATCTTTTGAAAATCCAGGAGTTTTTAATGGATTTCAAAAAATCGGAGGATTTTTTGAAAAAAGCGTGTTTTAAATGGAGACTTGTTAACCATGATTCAGAGTAGTCTATTTCTCTAACCGACAGTATGGCAAATTGCAGACTTAGTTTTGACCTTATGGTGTTGAGAGCTTGGTACCAAATCCTTTTTTTTTCTTGTTCCCTTGAATGGAATGCAAGCAACGGTCTACTAAAATGGGTGTATGACATATGCACAAATCTTGTTTAATGCGTGTATGACCACATTAAACTTGAACTAATGGTTTCAGTTGCTTCCATCTTCAATAAATGATTATCATTTTGCTCATGATTTAGTGCTAGATTCTCATATGTCAATAATGTCTGAACCAATGATTTAAAACTCCACTACTTGGGCTCAGACTCGCCTGAGTTGCTCAAACCCTGCAGGGTGTTTGGTCCCGTAAGAAAACCTCGGGAACCAGTCTAGTCTCATCAGTTACTGAGATAACTATATTAGTTTCGCATGGGCTTGTCCAAGTCTGTAAGAGACTCGGTCAAGTCGGACCAGGTGACTTGGGCTTGGGCCTTGGACCTTGGCCAGTTCTGGGGTCAAGTCCATGTTTTTAATCACTGATCTAAACTATGTTATAGTATATGAAAATTTTTAACTAGTTTCTTTTCTACTTAGAGGATTTGACGATGAGATGCGGGTAATGGTTGCAAAAAATCTTGAAACAAGGGGCATCAGATTGCATCCAGGCACAAACCTATCCGAGGTACTTTTAACACTTTGTGCTAATTACATATTTTAGTGTGAAATTGTGGATTTGTTGTCGATTTAGTGTGAAGATGTTACTAGAATCACTCGAACAATTGATTTAGAATTTGTCATTAATATAACTTCTTTTTTAGTTGGTCAAAACAGAAGATGGTATCAAAGTTGTCACAGATCATGGAGATGAATTAACAGCTGATGTTGTGCTATCTGCCACTGGTAATGTCGTTCTGACTAACCTTTTTTGTTATACTTGACTGTTCACTTCAAAGCATTCTTGCATTAGTTCTTTTTCCTTCTTCTAATTGGTGTGCTTAGGATCCTTTGGAACCTCCCAAAATTGAGAAGAGTTCCATATGTTTATTTGAGGCAGTTGTTTGTGTATTCTATATTTTCAACTTCTTTTGCAGTGTATAGTGTTTGTATAGATCTATCTATGTGGCCTCTCATTTTCACTTCTGCTTCATATTTTCTTAGTTGCTTGTGTATTATTGTATTATTTCCATACTATGCTGATTCTTTTAGTTCGCTCAATACAGTTGTCGTACAAATATCATTCATTGAATGGAAGGCGTGGACCTTTCTCTATCTGAACACCTTAATCTGTTAACCATTTAAAAAAATAAAATAAATTAAAATCTACCTTTAAGAGAATCTCTAGAGAAAGGAAATGTTCCACTTTGTGTACACTGTGATCTTAGTTTGATTGTCCCTTTTACCAAAGCGATCGCCAACTGTATCATGCACACATCAAATGATAGATAAAATGGCAGTGTACCATTTGTCTACTCGTTTGAATTATGTGAATCATTGCCATTGAAGAATATTCCATCCAAATACTTGTACAAGCTAAGATGCCCAGATCCTCAACCATACATCTTAGCTTCTGTCTGCTTATTTTAAGTTTTTTCCCCTGTTTTTTTTAAGTGTCCTATGAACCTTAGATTTTGGTGCATTCTGATCCATGTTTATAGTTAATAAGATTGATTTAACTTGATTAAATGCCCTTGGTTGAGGGGTTCATCATCCCCATCCTTTAGCATTAATGTAGTTTTTGGAATTCCTCTAATTCTTGAGACACCATCCCAGAGGATTCACAGACCAAGGAGCAATACAAGCCTCTATCATCTGTGGCCCATGCTTCATACATGAGCTATGTGGGCTTCAACCTCAAATTTTTACATGAGTTCATTTAGGGATGTTACCATTTCCCATCTCCATCTTCTGTCACCACAAACTATCCCCGACCTATCTATTAGGTTTATGACCTCATGGGTGATATTATCTTGGTTCCATCAATCCATCTCGAGGTTCCTGTTTTAGTTTCTAACCTTTTCTCAATTGATTTTGTGAGAATTTGGGACCTGATTCCCATGCAGGAAGGTAGCTTGCTGACCTTTGTCTAGCATAGGGTCTTGCAATGGCTTTCTTGTTCCTTGTTGTTTTTGTGTGTTGAACATGGAAGTATTCAGATTCGGGATTAAATCATATCAGAAATAGGGACAGTTTAGAAGTTTTATTTGGGGCTATAAATTTGGTGTTCACATTTTTCGATCCTTGATGCTCTCTAGATTATTCATTTAACTGAAACCTTGCTAGAGACTTTACCTTTGCACCATGTTAACTATAAATGTAGTTTTTTTGTTATTTTCATCTCTCAGTTCTTATTTTATATTTTTGGTAAACTTCTGCTGTCTGATATATATATTATGAAGGATAAATTCATGGTAAATGAATTAATTGTCTGCAGCTAGAAGAATAATTTGAGATTTTGGATCTCTATTTGTTCAAGATTTTCTACATTAATCCTATTCCTAGCATTCAGTTATCAAATCAATCCCACAATTCTTGCTTATGTTATGACTATGTCAGTATATCATTGATGACTAGGGTTTAGAGACATTGACTGGCAGATGTATTGGTTTCCCTACACCATTGTGTCCATAATTTTCTTTGGCACAGTTGTGGCTTGTAATTACTTTTGTAATGCAATTCAAAATGGGCAACTTCAAAGTGATGTCCTATTTATTTATTGAATGTTATTTCTCAGTCTATCAAGATTTCCTTTATTTTCTGAAATACAATGTATAAGGATTGTACCAAGCCAGAAAAGGTTATGAGGATTCATTTCTTAGAATAGCAATCTAGTAAATTCCCTTACATGAAACCTCGTCTGTGTTTTGTGCATGTTATATTCACCATTCACCATAGTTCACTGTGTTTTTTTGAACCTATTGATTTGTACTTTTAGGTATGCCTGCATCATTTGGTCGGTGATTTTCTGTAATAATATTTGTTTGTGATTCATTTTAGGTAGACATCCAAATACGAAGAGATTGAACTTAGATGCTGTTGGTGTTGAACTTGATAGGGCGGGAGCTGTGAAGGTTATTATTTTCTTAATTATTTTCTCTTTTTTCCTTTTCTTTCGTTCTAAATTAATTCTCTTTATGATAATGAAGGAACCAAGACATTCAACTATTGGATGTCTGAAGTTTCACTATAATGCGACTACATTGTTGATGTGTCAAACTCTCAACGCACTACACTTTGATGTCTCAAACTCTCAACGCACTAAACTTTTGTATAGGTTGATGTTTCAAGGAGTTTTCTTAAGAAGCATCAAGTTCGCTTTCCACTTTAATTCGTGGGCATCTCTTAGTACAAGCCCATCTCTTACCGTTGTATAATTTGAGCTTGTATTGGTTTGCTTTACATGTTACAGGTAGATGAGTACTCTCGCACCAGTGTCCCCAACATATGGGCTGTTGGTGATGTGACCAACAGGATAAATCTCACTCCAGTTGCCCTAATGGAGGCAACCTGCTTTGCGGTATGCGAGTTTCATATGCGATCCTTGTGTTGATCATTTTATTTTCCTTTGTATGTGCTTATCCATGAATGCCTTTATTCTGTAGAAAACAGTTTTTGGTGGACAACCAAGTAAACCTGACTACAACCATGTACCTTGTGCAGTGTTTTGGTGAGTTAGCTCTCCCTACTGCTAATAATATATATTTCTCTTTTTAATTACCTATTTCCATTTCTACCTTTCATACCTAGATTTTTAGGACAATCTAATTGTCTGATACTATTCTGAACTTTGGAAGTGTGTCTGATTCCATCTCACTTTTGGAGCTCCTCATGATTTATTTTGCTTCTTACTGGACATTTATAGGTCAAATAAGTCACTTGGAGATTGATCCACGTACTTTTCACTGCCAAAAGGGAATTTTTTAGGACACTCCATAAATTTTCTTACAAACTATACCCTGGAGGACCTTATCTTTTCGCCATCATGTGTCATACTCCCATGATCTAAATGAGAAACTCCCAGGCCAGACCTTGTGACGTCCATTGTATCTACTTTGGCCACAATCAAAAGATAAACTGTATCCACTGGACAAGTTTTGTTGAAAAATCATTGTCAAACCCACACTCCAATGTTCTTGGAGTCTTATATGAGATCCACTCTTTCATACTATGCGAACTTTCTGAGTTTTACGTGCTATGAAATTTGCCACAAAGTTATTATGATCATCATCATCTGAGCTTTATCCCAACTATTTGGGTTTGGCTTTTATGAAATAGATATGACAATAGTTTTACACCAGCTGCCAACCTAATACAACCCTCATTTCTCCAGGCGAGAAATGAGCTTGGGATTAGCATGGCCTGCTTTTGACAAAGCTATGCCACAAAGCTATGTTACTGCGTTAAATAAGTCGATTGGATATATGTTGACATTTGTTAAATACCTTACATTACAAGGTCTGTTTTTATGCTGAGTTCTTCTCAACTTGGGTATTAGCATGCTCTCCCTTATTTAAATTCATTATGTAACAATGATTTAGAACATGTGAAGGACTGTTAGGAGCATCCTTTATTGATTTATGCATTTCATTTTGGCTTGTAGCATACCTCCTCTCTCTGTTGTGGGCCTTAGTGAGCAGCAAGCTGTAGAGCAAGCAAAGAGTGATATATTGGTCTTTACATCAACTTTCACTCCTATGAAAAATACAATCTCTGGGTAAGGGTTTTCATTTTACCTATGTTGTGGTGCCTGGGTTAGAAAGAAACAAACTTGTTGTAGTACCATCTCTTGTTATTTCTTTTATGGAAGGTAACTAGCTATCATACTGCAAATTTTTGTAGGTGTTATTCATTCAAAGAATTTTACAAAAATGTTTTAGTTGTAAAAAGGAAAAGTAAAATATTTTATGCATATACCTTTCATCACTTACTGAATATCAAAGTTTACTGTAGCTGTTCATTAGAAGCTCACAAAACTGGCAGTGTGTGTGCATGTGTGTGTGTCTGTAAAAAACAATATGTAAACCCATGGGCTTATACTGTGGCATTAAACCCATTGGAGCTACCAGAGTTTGCTGGACCCCAAAATTTTCATTAATTCTCATCTCTTTCTAGCAATCAAGGGGGAGAAGAAAAAAAATGAAAAAGAGGGAGAGAATGGATTCATCTACTAAAAATGGTCCAAATTAATTCGACCCTAATAGTGAATGATGACCTTCCATTTTCGTGGATGTCTGATCTAGGTCTTCAAGAGCGTGCAAAATTTCAGCCAAAAAAGTCCCTTTAGCTATATGTTTTGGGGCTCTGCTTATACTATAGCTATAAGCCTGTTGGCCAGTATCTTTTCCCTCTTGTGTGTTGTGTGTGTGTGTGGAGAAACACACGCCAACATGCAAGACATACTTTATACCAACAAAGGATTCTTGATAAAAGAACCATAAATAATAAACTAGAAGTACCCATGCTCTCGATGGGCATGAAGTGGGGGAGGCAGTCACATGCCTAATCTCTGGTCTTCCCTTGAACATAGAAATGTTACATAGGAGGCCTTTTAAAAAATAGGCTCTAACCCATTTCCATTTGTGATAATAAATACATTACCCAATGGCTGACTTGTTTTTGCAATTACCTAGAAATGGGCAGATGCCCAGGCCTATGCGTGTGGGAAATTGTTTGGTTTGGTTATGTTGAGATCCAGATATTCTTGCTTCCTTTAGTGAGTTGTAATTAAGAGAGTAAGATAGTGGCCCAGCTGCTTGTCTCACACATATCATATGTGGTTTCTCTAACCTATAAGTTTTACATAGGAGGCATTTCCGAAAGTAGATTCTAACCCTCTTACATGTATAATAACCACATCACCCAAAAAGTGGCTTATTTTTCTTACGATTTCGTAGCAAAAGATAGATGCCTGGGCTTATACCTGTGCAAAATATGACGAGTTTGGTGCTATTGACACTCAGATGTTCTTGCAGTCCATTAACGAGATGTCACTGGAAAGCTTCTTAAGATAGTAGCTCAGTGGATACTCCAGTTTGAGGGGCCACATGAATATTTTTCATCAAATTTTAATCTGATATTATTGAAACCTACAGTCAAAATGATCAAAATGTCTGTCCGACGGACCTTGTCATACTTTCTAAAAATGAAAATTTTATGAACCTTCAACAAAGTAGAAAATTCGTCAATTTTAATTCACTTACTCGAGCTATTGATTTAAGTTGTAGTATCAACGGTGCACCAACAAGACATTTTAGATTTAAGACATCCTTGAGAAAATGCATTACTAACATGGTGATTAGCCTCTATTGCCAAAATACTGACCAGAAAGTCAGAAAACACAGAATCAGTCATTTCTGAAGTTGGGCACATGTGAATCGCAATCTAGAGATCATCAGAGGACTCCAAATCTTTGGATCCATGTGGTACATAATTCAATGTTGATGGTTGAAAGGCATAAATATTATATAATCATCAGGATTGGTTTAGATGTATTCTCAGTTGTCATCATAAAAGAGATTTATTTATTGATTCATATCTCAATGGTTACTCCTCATGGAAACATCTTGAGGAATAGGTTCTTAAGAGGATAGTTTATTCATCGTATGAGTTTTACGACCGATTGATTGAATTACTGAAGTCATTCGTAGTCAACCCAGAATTACGGCTTTGGCTGAGATGCCCAGACATGAGAATGGATGCATACACCGATACAGTGAGCTAGAGCAAGACTTGCATTTCTCAAAATCTAGGATATGGATACGGATACGAGTATCTTATTTAGTACATCCATTAATATGTGGTATAGCTTATACAGTATATAAATATATTCATTCAACACAAACACACATTTATTTATTCATTTCTAGAAAGAGATTTTGTCACCTCCAGAGCAGACCGCTTCAGACGCCTAAAACCATGATTTCATGTATATCTTCAATTAAATTCTGAACTGGTTATTATTTGCAAACTTTAGTAGAATTTACTATTCATTTCTGATAAATTATTGGTTCACTCAGTCCATTCCTAGAAAGGTCCCATTTTAAAAGGGAACTTCTGTTTTATAAAGATTTCTAACAAGCCGCCTCACATAGTTAGTTGCCAAAGTATCTTATTCCTAGCCTAATGTAGTTGATTGTTTTTAAGTATGTCGTGCAAAATCATATTCCTGTTATAATCCATCAGTATCATTTGTAGGCCTTTACAATGTGATTTGTATCGTTATCTTGCAGAAGGCCAGAAAAGACATTGATGAAGCTGATTGTTGATTCTGAGACAGATAAAGTTCTTGGGGCATCTATGTGTGGCCCTGATGCACCTGAAATTACGCAGGTATTACACTTGCTCGTATACCTATGCTGAAAGATTTTCATTCTTTTTCAAGGATTTTTTTTTATTCATTTAAATGTTAAATGATGATTTCTTTTAACTGGAACTTTTTGAAAATTTGTTTACTTCTGAGGGATGATTAATCCTTAAACAAAAACAATTACTGGGCTACGTCTTGTTACGATGAACATTATAAATTGATTTTGTCACTTTTCTTTTTTTTTAAGATATGAATTATGACGTCCATTTTAGTATAAATGGAAAATTAAAAGAGGTGGATATTTGCAGGGCATTGCTGTGGCACTAAAGTGTGGCGCAACCAAATCACAATTTGACGATACGGTATGTGGAAAATCTCACTAGTGATAGTATGCCGAAAATCATTTGTGGTAGACTAAAATAAAAACTAATAAACAAAAGAAATTGATTTTTTTCTTATAAACTTTTTTTACACTGGCCAGGCATAATCTGGATAGATTAGGAATATTTTGTCTAATCCTAGGAAATCCTTCATTACAGGTGGGCATTCACCCCTCAGCTGCTGAAGAATTTGTGACAATGAGATCTGTTACGAGACGTGTCACTGTTGGTACCAAGGCGAAAACAAATTTGTAAGTAATAGGATAATTTGTTTGGGGAATATCAGCTCATGCTTATTTGAGGGGGACTATCAATAAAACAATATAAAGCCGTCATATTGTCGATGAATAAAAGTATTTTATATTATTTTTCAAGTGGGAGATGTTGCTATTATTTTTTTAAATACAATGTTTATGTGATTATTTGGTAGTCTCTAAAATCTCTTTAGTTGTCATCCTCTCTAAAATGGGAACAATTGAATCCATTTGATGATTCTATGATTTACATTACATCCTTGTATTTCCTCTCATAAGTGGAACTTAGTCACGAGACATTGTATATGTAAAAGGTCCGTACAAAATGATCTGTATGGCCCTTTTTCTTCGCTAAGTCTGCAATGGTAGGCCAGGCAGTGGGCCACCAGCCGGGCAAAGTTGTCCCTGTCCTAAAAAAAACTGGGGCTTGAGCCAGAAGATGTGACCTGAGGGCCAAGCTAGTGGTGGCCTGATGGCCCTGCGAGGACCACAGGTAGCAAGTTTCCATTTAAAACAAGATTTTTTTTAAAAAAATGTCAAATTTTTTTAAATCCGAACTCTGGTGTTTGGGGAGATGCTCATGATCATTCCTTCCGGCATCATAATGTACGAGTCAGGGTTGCAACCTTGGATTTTCTTGTAATTATTTCAATAGTGCTTTGACTGCTTGGATGGATTGGTTGGTTGTGGCGTTCTATCAAGCATGTTTTTTTATTTTTTTAGCAATGTTCTATCAAACGTGTTTTTCGTTCGTGTGGTCCACTTTCCAACCCCGTTGCTGTCCAACCCATTTTATTGGACGGTGAATTACATTGTTATCTTAGACTTATAAGAGAACCGGGTCTGGGCTGGTTCGATCCAGATTCGATAGGTTAAGGACCCGTCACTTACCAGGTTGGGTTGGGTCCTAGGTGGTGCACATACATACACACTAGGCTAGATTCATCCCTCCTAGGACACAACTGGACTTGGTGAGGTTCGGGCTATGATCAGACCCGGACCTGACCTGCCAAGCAACACCCTGACCCAGTCTGAGCTGGTGAACTTCCGATTATCACCCCTATGTCGTCACGACAATATGGATCATTTGGTGTCTTTCTAAAAGTGAGGACAAAATTACTAAAGTTATGCAGAAAAGTACGCCGATTGCAAGGACTCATGGTTATATTTGGTACTGGGGGCGTGGTGGTAACACCCCTACACCCTAGTTATTGCATTGATATCAGTCCCACTTACACCACTCCAACCCTTAAAAGCCAACTCCTAAACAATTTTAAAAAAAACATAAAGGGGTTGAATTACTTTCGAGGAAGAAAAAAAAGAAAACTCAAGGTTATACTTTTGAGCTCGTGGGTTTCATCAAGCTTCCCTACAAAAGAAAAGAAAGGGGCAGATCTTCTGAAGAGGTAGATCTTCTGAGATGATGGCCATAGTAGGGATTCAACCAGCTGTGGACATGGCCTGCCTGCCAAATCAACAGGGGCACGTGAAGTCCCACCTTGGCAGAATTGCAGTCCTCCCGAATGTCACCATTGGAACCTACCTTTGTTTGATAGTTATAAATACACAAGCCACGTTCTAGGGAAATGGGTGAAGCAAAGCAAATAGTAATAGCAAATTAGGGAATTATGAAAGAGAGAGATGGGTCTGTACAACATATGAGCATGACTACAATTTTTTCCCATTTATTGGTAGGAGGATGGGGCCATAAAGGCCTCTTTGCATTCTAATGTTAGGATAAGTTTGATATTTTCTAGTTAATCATATATCAATCTTGAACTATATTCATGTCTGTCTGCCTTTTACTTCTTCTTCTTCTTCTTTTTTTTTTTTTGGTGGGGTCACTATTCCTGCTCTCTATGGTCGCCAAAAGGGAAGAAAAAATAAGATAATGGAAAGGTGCTTTGGATACTTCCAGAGGGTTATTTTTTAACCGCATGAGTTTTGCCCGTTACAATTTTTTTTTTAAAAAAATAGGGGTAAGCTATGTGAAAATTGTCTCTTAGTATACTTTTCCATTTCACTACACTACGTTAAAAAGGTGGTTTGCAATCCAAACTTTGGACATCCGTATCTTGTTCAACTTGGCCATAGGTAGTTCTTGGTGTTTAAAGTGGTTCGAAGGTCCATCTTTTGAATAAGATACTGTAATTTTTTTTTGTAAGGGTTTTGTTAGGCTACTCTTATACATAGAGTGTATAATGTTCTCAATATTTGTGGACATTTAGATATTCTTTATTTGTATTACAAATTTTTTTAAGCTAAGGGGATTTTTGGTCATTATGAGAGTGGAATAGATATTTTTATAAGAAACTTATGGTATTCTATTAGTAGTTAAAAAATAATTAATACTCTATATCGGTGACATCACACATCGTGTTGGTGATGTTGTTGTTTTATTAAAAAAATATCTATTTTACCATTAATTAATTACTTAAAATACCCCTGGACAATAAGTTACTACATCATATATCCAAAAATTTTGAATACATTAATATATACTCCATATATAAGAGTAGCATAACAAAATTATTTTATTTTTAATAAGAGCTCACAATCATTCTTGTTTGTCAAATCTTAAATATGACGGTTATAGATGTGTCACTAACTAGACACAAAGTTCAAAAAAGAATTTTTCAAAGTGTGATTCATCCTAAGCCATTCAATTTAACATCTAATAGCTAGTAACAATTGTGACTTTCTTATGACAAATCCGGAAGAAATTATGCTCAAAGTTTGCAACTTTCAACCATATTTTAATTTGAGAAAAGAATAAATGGGGTAAAATGCAAAAAAGGAAAAGCATGAAAAGTTAGATCTCTCCTTAAAAAAAATGTCCCACAACATGGACCACTTTTGAAATTTCTCTATTACATAGAAGTGGCACATCTGCTTTGCCTTTTTGAAAATGGATGAACATAAGACAGAGAACAGGGAACCCACTACGAAAACACAGACTCACTTTGTACCCGCTGGAGAGAGACTGTGTCTCATCCCTTTGGAAAACCCTAGTTGTGAAGGAACATCATGTACTTCCCTTCAACATTAGATTTGATGCTTTCAAAGAACCAATTCATAATTTGAATGGCCAGGCCTTTTGCTTCTAAGATAGGGAAGAAAAGTATTAATGTGAAACGAAAGAAAGGCCATGCCATCAAATGATTTCATATTCGGTCTACCAATATTGTCGTGCGGTGTTGGACACGTAATGTTTTCACATGATTCAAAGGCAAAAGTGGCACGCCCCACACTGTTTCCTTTCCAATCTCTCACCCTTTCCTTTTCCAAAGGTACGAGCATCCCACTTTGCATTCACATGCTTTGAACGTTTACATCCTTGCCTCCAAATCCCATCTCTCTCTCTCTCTCTCTCTCTTAATCCTTGCCTCCGAAAGCCACTAGGGGTGGCAATGGACCCACGACGTGGGACCCGCGACCCAACCTAGGTTTGAGTATGGATCCAAAAATTGGAGTCACCGAGGGCGTGGAGTTTTGATCTTGAACCTGAACACTATTCGGATTTGGGTTGGGGACAGGGTCCCTGTGGACCCAACTTGGACTTGACCCGAATGTAATAATTTTTTACTAATAGTATAACTATATATTGTTAGTTATAGTATTTAAATCAAAAAAGTTTATTTAAGTATGATGTTCTAAACGATCAAATTAGGGCAAAGTTTTAACTAGAACAGGTTTTTTTGATGTCCAAATATCTTCAAATCGATCATCTCAACCTCAAGATGCATGGACATGAGAAAAAAAATAGATTTCAAGTTTTGAAAATAGTGCATCTTGTAATGCATTTTTGGGCCATCAAGATTTTTAGGTTTTTATAGATTTGCTCGATCTACACCATTTTTTAAGCTTTAAATTTTATAATTAGAGATAAAAAAATATTTTAAAGCAATCACAAAGATTTCCAGTATTGAAACGATATTTCTCGATACTATTTGAAAGTGCGCTTTGCTTTGATTGTTTGGAGCCTCAGCTTAATGCAAACCCCATAAAAATATATGTAAATATATAAATATTCTGATATTGGGTCGGGTCTGATTGGGCCCGGTCAGGTCTGGGTCCCATATTATATATGCGGGTCAGGGTCTAGATTCGGTGAATTTGGTTCAAAGTTTGGTTTTGAGTCCCATAATAATTTTTTCAGGTCTGATCCGGTGCTAGGCCTCGACCCGACCCGACCCCTACTCTCCCGCCTTCAAATGCCATCTTTTTGTACACCTTTCTTTTTCTATTCAGTCATACCTTTCCGGTCCTTTTATGGGAAGTTGGTACGTTACGGACATCGCATCTCGAGTCTCTCTCTCTCTCAAGTTTGATTAAGACAATGAAAATTGAGAATCTTGCATGTTTTTCCTTATTATTTAAACGTCTATTCGACATCAGTAAGATCTAGGATATGATTTTCAATCTTCATATTTCCTTATTTTAAGTTTTAGTCTTAGGTTTCAACACAATGATCATGTGAAGCACTAAAACTTGAGGCATAATCCTCTCTTTATCAAATTCGATTAGGGAAAAGTGATGAGATAGTGGAAATCAAACGTCTTAGACACTCGTGATAAGCAAACGCAATAAACACAATAAAAAATAGAGATCAAAATGGTCCAACTGTTCACTAATGGAGTCAAATATTGCTTAGAATCTATAATGTGAAAATGGGTATCTTGCATTGAGTGGGTCAGCCACTCGGGCAAAGAATAATAAGGATGGCAACTAAAGTAGTTGGTCTTTATGTTCCTAGCAAAAGAAAGGAGATTGAAATAAATTTAGGGTCGGCAACAGGCCCGGCTTAGGAAGACCATCCCTAGCCCGAGCCTGGTCGGGTTTCTTATGGGGTCTACCTAGACTGGGCCAAAGGGCCCCTGGCCATGGCTGTTGCCCTTAGGCCGGCAATGCTCAGCCTAACTAGACCCTAATTTTTCAGGGCTAGACGGGACCAGGCCAGGGTAAGGTAAGCCACCTGATCCATCATCTTTTTTCATAAAGAAAAAGTCCACATGGTGAAATAGAACACATGGTTCTCTCTCTATAAATAAATATAATAATAATAATAATAAATCTTCATTGATGATTACTTCTTTCCAGTGAATTTGTAATCCTGTAACTTGATTTTCTTTCTTTTAATGAAAATTATTTGGTAACGTTTGAAAAAAAAGATAAAA